TGATAGATATTCAAAGCAGCAAAATAGATGAGCATTAATTTTTTTAAAGTCAGTCCTTTCCCTGTTGATCAACCTGGGCTAGGTCAGAGCTGAGATGAGCGACTAGGTTCTGGCCATCCAGATTTTGGGAGATGCACCTATAAACTATTGTATCATATTCATAGATATTTACTAAAGGTCAGAGTATTATTTTAGACAGATCATCACTATAGAGTAAAATGAAGGTAAGACCGAGGAGAGAAAACTGAAGCAGATTGTGTATAAATAGATGGCAAAATAGGAAGTATATAAAAAGTACAAACATTGTTAAGAGCTACAAAGGATAAAAATTTGAGGTGAGCTATGATAGCTCATGTTTTGAGGGGCTATGATAGCCCACATCATGAGTTAACAATGGATTCATATTGTCTTTAGTAAAAATTTTAAAAAATTAGTTTTCTTCAAAAAATTTCTGCTTGATAGGAACAATGTTAACTTTTGTATATTCAGTTTGATCATATCTGTGTGTGAAATCATTTAAAAAAGAAAATGTCATATCCTTTCAGGACATAGGCAATCATAGCTCTCCACATATTTGTTTTATTTATTAATTGTGAATTTTCATGCTTTCTAGAAAAAAGATAGCAGAGAGGTTTCCCATGGCTGTCTCTATGTTTTGTAATTAAGTTATTCTTCTTTTAGACTAGTTGCTTATCTCCTACAAAGGCAAACATCCTGTCTATATAATCCATAGCTGGGTGGAGAAAAGATGGATTCATGCCTTTCCCAAGAGCACCAGTATTAAAATGAAAGTAACAAACAAGGCCATAATTTAAACTAGGTTTCCTTGTTCCACATGCTGATAACTGGGAAACACAGAAAACAGACTGTAAAATGTATTTCTATGATACGTAATAAAGACATGTAAAACAATGTAATACCATGTGCGATGGATAAATTGTGATCTAAATTACAAAAAAATGAAATAACACTGACATCTGATTTTAATAGATATATTAACCAAAATTACATAAAAATACCTTGAAATACTAAAATGTAAATTTATTCAATAAAATTACCATTGGCTTTATTCAAGACTTCCAGACTACTTCAGAATCTCTTGTATCTCTTCTGAACAGTCTTCTTGTTTAAGTTGGTGAAAGCTACCATAATCCTTGCCTTCAGTTAATCTTTGGTGTTACAAGGAGTTATGTTTGTCTATTGCTCAAGCAGCCACCCTCTTGATCCAGGGCAGCAATACCTCATCAAGGCACTTGATGTAGACCTCGGTGTTGAGTTTGAGGCCCTCACCAACAGAATTTGAGAGTTCTTTTCTACTCAGAATGAGTTTTCTGAGCTGCCATACATTCATAATAACCATAAGACTCATCCAGCTCTTTCTGAATCTTCTGCACTGTCCCCATATTGACACCCAAATACTCTGAAAGGTTCATATTAGAGCTTCTGACATGAATGCCAAGCAGCACAGCATGCCATTTCCAAATTTATGGCAGTGTGTATTGTGACCTGGTGCTCTTTTTCTGTTATTTAGTGGTTTCACAGTGGAGGCTTGTATTCGTACTAAGTCAGTCCTAAAATAGGTTCGACGTGCAAAACGTTAGGAACTTGATATAATAGGTAATGACGCAGAGTAATCTAGTTGCAGTCGCTGATACTTTAGTATCCGACTAACAGTCATCCAGCATCAACTGACTGACCCACTGAGCGACTCCCTCGTTACTCTTACTACTCCTACTTATTATAGGTGGGAGAGTCTATTAACTATAGAATAGGTGTGTTCCACTATAGCATTTTCTCACTAACAGTGCCTAACAGACCCTACTATACTGTATAGTCCACAAAATAAAAAATATAAAATGGTGACAACTTACTCTTTGCGCCCTATATATATATATATATATATATATATATATATATATATATGTAACAATTACATATAATAGAGTGTGATATATATAATAGAATAGAAAAATAGTAATAAGATAGTGAATATGAAAATATGTTTTCCTCACATTATTTCTCCTTCATTTCATTAAAAAATTATTTCCCTTGAAGTACAGAATAAGATTAAGAAATGTTTGTAGAATTATGGAAATATTAAACAGGTAAACATTGTCTTCATGACCCAACCAGCCAGTCAAGACATGTATTTCCAAAGATAATTACATTCTTGGAAAATATTTCTATGAGGTTTAACAATCTGATTGGTTCTACAGACTCAGTGCTGCTGCTAGCCTTGTGTTTAGACACTAAAAGCAATTAGTGAAAACTCCCATCTAATACAAACTATTATTACTGTTTGTTTTTTTTTCTTCAATTTTGCTCATGATTTAACAGAAGTCTTTTGAAATAAATGCAATTTTGTTTTACTGAGAAGACATTTAATGAATAGTTGAATTTATAATTACTGTCAGCAATCCTTTGGCTCGAGCTGAAAATATTTTGACTGCAGTTTTCAAAATTAAACTTTGTTAAATAAAAAATGCTGAAAACTTTAAATTAGAGATGAATAATTAAGTTGGATGGGAAAAAATATAAGTAAAATAAATTAATAATTCGCTACATTTTTATGAAATATAAATAAGCTTGTCGACAGATAAAAAAGAACATGAAACTCTTTGATAAAGCTTAGACTAAAAGCTTGGAAATTTTCTGAAGTCTGAAGAATTTCTATGAAGTTGACTTAGAAATAATTGACTTTACTTTTTGCTTTAGGCTAGTAAGATTATATAGTTTTAATGGGGAGCTTTCACAATGTTGGTTATGTTGGAAAATTAGCTTGGGTGAGTGCATCTGACAAATGCCTTTCTCATTCTATCATGTAACTAGGAGGAGATTTAAGATTTTACTGAGGACACTTTGTACAAAGTGAGCAACAAGAGCATCTGATATAATTTGAATACTATTTGCTATTTTTACATCCAAATTTTATCTATTTTGTCATACATTCTTGTTTAAATAAGGTGTGCAGGAGAGAATATTTATGATAAGTGAATTTGTTTAATGGGTATAATACATTTTATTAATGGACTAATGTGCAAAAGAGTAAACCACATAAAAATACCAGTGAAAGTTAAAAGTATATCCATGTTGTTTATGCAATAAATATCAGACATATTGTAGATAGAAGCACATTTATTCAAAGTAATTAAATGTTACCTTCTCAGAAAGATCTTCTAGAATTCAAAAGCTAGATGTTTTTTAAGTTGACCAATTTTAAGCTTGACCCTTACTGATTTTTAATTCCTAGTGTTTTATCTAATTTTAGATGTTTCTCAACAAAGTTGCTTCGTCATTCAATAATTATTAGTAAACTCTGCAAATCAGAAACAGACACAAATTTCCTCTTTTTTTCATCTGGTATTTACAATGAGTAATTTTAATAAAAATGAACTAAAATAAAGATGAAAGAAAATGGATTTCTTTAAAAAAATAATGGCCATAGTTTCATTCTAAGTAGTTTTGAATAAAAAGCGACTAAAATACATTTAAAAAAAATAGAAGTTAAAACTTAATAAATGTTAACAATACTTTACCTAATAAATAAACAATCAGAATGTTGATATTTACTCAGCTGAGAATAATATAGTCAAATATAAAGAACAGTGAAAGTTTTCAGTATTTTTTATTTAACAAAGTTTAATTTTGAAGAATGCAGCCAAAATATTTTCAGCTGGAGCCAAAGGATTGCTGAAAGTCATTATAAACTCAAATGTTCATTAAATCTCTTCTCAATAAAACAAAATCGTATTTGTTTCAAAAGACTTCTGGTAAAACATTAGCAAGATGAAAGAAAAAAGAGTAATAATAGTTTGTATTAGATGAGAGTTATTAATTGATTTTAATGTCTAAATACAAGGCTAGCAGCAGCACTGAGTCTGCAGAATGAATCAGATTGTTAAACCTAATAAAAATATCTTCCAAGAATGTAATTATCTTTGGAAATACGTGTTTTGACTGGCTGGTTGAAGACAATGCTTACCTCTTTAATGTTTTCATAATTACACAAACATTTTTCAAAATCTTATTCAGTTCTTCAAGGAGAATAAATTAATAATATTTTTTTTAATGAAATGAATGAGAACAAATACAAGAAAAGTATATTTGAACTGATGAAAAATATTTGTAATGGGAAAAACCTGTTGGCTTTGCAAATCAGTCAACAAAATATTTCTATTTTCTAAACCTATGTTTGTACATCACATTGCTTAACAAGAGGCATTTGCTTATGACATTAAAGCAGGCTATATTCTGTATTTCTACAGTTATAAAACTAATGTTATTTGTTATTCTAGCATAAAGATCATTTTGCAGTTTTGCTGAGTGAATATATGTTTCATGTCTGCAGAGGAAAAAAATCTAACAGATAACATGATGTCAACTGCACAGAGACCTTGTGTACATTAATTTTATCTGTGCTGGATAGATGAACGAAATAGCTCTAAAATGAACTGGCAAAAATGTTCAAATTATGATACCCATCTGTTGTTTTATACTTTCATGCTTATACCCTTGGGAAATATGTGTAACAAAGCACTCAGCAATCATTCTCTGCTGCCAAATATTTTGATATAGCCTAAGATGAGCATTTTATAATATAACAGAGAATAAAAGACAATCCAATTATGTGCATGTGAATCAGTCCCCAAAGAGGATTAGTCTTGTCTCTGAAAATGAATTACATGAAAACAATCCATTGTAAGGGATCTAGAAGATAATGCTTTAAGGGCTCAACATATATACAAATGGGATAATGCTGCTTTTACAATTACAAATTAGAAAACATTGCTATCGGCAGATGAACAAGAAAAAAAAAATAACTTGCTTATGATGTTCATCATGACTCGAGGATTGAAACTTTAACTTTTTGTTTAACCCCTTAGATCCCATCCTTGAATCTATGTAGGTTGTGGTGATATACTTGGAAATAATATAAAGAAAAACATTTGTTCTGTTATAACTTTTGAATATACTGTTCCTTGCAAATGTAGAGGGCTTATAGCCACATCAGGTTAAAACACCGGTTCCTGTACAATCACTGAAGTTAAGCAACATTGAGCCTGGTTAGTACCTAGATAGGTGACCACTTGGAGGTACAGGTGGTGTAATGGATGCTGGCTCAGAATTGTTAATCAGAGAGCTGAGTTCCAATTCTTGTTAGGTTTGTTATATTCATTTACACACAAGTACCTTGGCAAAAGTTATGAATTCACCTCTTCTCCTGCAAGATAGGGTTTAATTAGTAAGACTTGTATTACTAACCCATTATTATCTAAAAAAATAAATAAAATTGCATATAAAATATTTACATTTTGGTATTAACTCATAGAGGATGATATGCTGCTAAACTAAACCAAACAACCACCCAAATGTAGAAGATACACATCAATTATTTTCTGCCTAAAGGGCATGTTGTCTTTGGATTAAGGTTTTATTATTGTAGAAAAAAATGATGCAATCAGTTATTATTGTTAGACTACTATTATCAAGATCTTTGTCTGATTCACATACATTTCACTAGGTATGTCACTTGTATTTTTTGTCCAATGAACCCATTTCACACTAAGTCAGAATGTTATCCCACACCTTTCCAAGATTGACCAACTCAAAAGGTGCACTCCAAATGATATGCATATATTATTGAAAATCTTCATTCTTTTCCATATTAGTACATATACATTTACATATAAAAAGGATTTTACCTCGAAGTGACTAACTATTGAGGTAAAATCATTTTTATTAGAAAATTTCTGCATGCACCTAAAATATATTTTAAAATTAAGAAACTCTAATACTTAATTTCAAGACAGTTTGTTTCTAAATTTTACCAGTTTTAAGATTACTAAAATTTAAATCAAATTTGTGGCGCTATAAACCCTTCTGTATTAAATACCTTCTGTAAACAAATTAACCCTTCTGTACTAAATATATTGTTAGCATAACATTAAGATAATTACTAATTGCATTTTTACTTATAAATATCTGTTTATACTCAGTTCTATTAAAACTGAACAGAATATGCATATTATCTTTTGCTGGTCAAATCTAGCTACCATTGGCATTGATTAAAGATGCTTAAATTTATCAAAGTAAAAATTACTTTATTCATGATCATTTGCTCATATTCTACAAATGAACAGAGGAGCCTGATTATCAGAACAATTAAAATGTGTTAAATTTTCAAAATAAAAATTAATTAGATTATTCTTCCTTTATGTGCTGTATCCCTTCTGTACATGGGCTGTCATGGCTCTCAACAACTTTCTATGGTTTTGTAGCTTTTAGCAATATTTATCCTCTTTTTATCCTTCCCCATCACTACTCTGCCTGTGATTTAAACAAGCTCATTAGATAGGTAACAAAGTTTTTCTCCACCTTCAATATGTTTTGTGATAGTCAAATTCTTTTCATTAAGTTTCTCTCTCTTTCCAATTCTAAGTCTGTTCTTTTGTATTTTGTTTCCTTAAAACTTCCTTGTTGTTTCTCTGTTCTGCCTGTAGTATTCTCAGCTTCCTTCTGCTGAACCACATATCTGTTGTTACCTCTGCATTTGTGTGGAAATTATAGTCTTTCACTGCCTTATAGAAATACTGATATTACATAGTTTAGTATTCTTTTCCTTATTTCTAACAAATCTCTTAATACATTGTTGATCCGTTATCTTTGTTGTTAATATAGCAACACAATTGCTTGATTATTTGGTTTTCATTAGATGTATATTGTAGCTAGCAGGCTTTAAAATGGCTTAATTATTTTTGTTTCTTTTCATCTCAAACACTGCAAATGAACAATGTTACTCCTGTGAGTAGAGTTAATATCAGAGCAGACAAAATGTATTAAATCATCAAAGATAAAGATTAATTAGATTATTAGATACAATAAAGAAAATACTTCATCATAGAAATTGAGAAAGTTCTGATTAATGTTTTAATGTTCAGTTGGCTATTTCTTTTGATATATGAAAGATCAAATTCACAATCCATAGACAAATGGAACTAAGAAGACCTTTTTCAACAGCTTAAGACTTTCAGTTATGAATTATGTTCGAAATATGTAAATATTGATAAAGGTGACAATGCAAAGCTTCATTTAACAAAATAAAGTCAGCTGAAAATATTGTCATTAAGCTGGGAAATGTTACCTTATCCTCCATATTTGTTTCAATTCTGAGAACATTGAGAAGTTATGAAGAGTTCAATTCAGGTCTCTGAGTATTATTTTCATTGAAAACAATAGAATTATATTTCTATGGAATGGAAAGATTCCCTTTATGCTGGGTGACTGTAATAACTTTGTAAATTCTGTTTTTATTGTATAAAATTTAACTTAATTAGATCTAAATCTAGCTAAATAATAAAAAGTACTTTTCTCAAATAAGGTACATAATAGGTATCAAAGTATTTATACAGTTTTTCTCTTTTTTTTAATGGGACAACCTTTTAGGCAAAATGTATCTTCCATTATAAATAGATGATTTTTATTTTAATGTGATAATTTCATTTCAACAAATATTTTCTGATATCTTCAGTTTTTTTTTTAATATTGACCAGAAAGGAAGGGAGTTCCACAAGTGAAAAGTGTGAAAAAAGAAAGTATTAGCATAGAATTTACAGCTACTTTCAGCCAATTTTTAGCTGCATCACATCCGCAAATCATACAGCAAAAATACATTTTTCTTTTCTCAGATGAAAGACTTTGTTTTTGAATGTATTTTTCATGAAGCAAATTCACTTGTTATCTTCTTTTTTCTGATAAAATAATTTTTATGCAGAAAATTTACTTGTTTACTTCATTCCCAAGAAGGACTTTGTCCTTTCAATAAATCTTTCAGCAAAGTAATGTTACAAAGTCACAATTTTTTAAAGTATCAGCAATTCATTATAAATATTTTTAGATGCATTCAAACAGATATACTTCATCTGCCTGTCTTTCTGAGAGGAGGTATAAAAACTATGCTATTTAAATTGTTCAGTCTTTTGTCCTCATCTTTACTGTCACATTCACAGTGTTTCAGCCATTGTACATGCTGTTCTTTTTCAGGTGATATTTGTTGGAATTTTGAAACAAACCCTTTATTTAGTCCATGGAGGTTAGATTGTTTTAATTCCACATACCATGCCTTTGGATATCTCAGTGTTAGTTAATTCACTGTGAACTAAATAAAGGGTTTAGTTTGAAATTTCAGCAAATATCATCTGAAGAAAGCAAAAGCATACAATGACTGAAACATTGTTACTGTGAATGTAAAGATGAGGACAACAGTCTGACCAATTTAAATCGACATTCTTTTACTTTTTGATTTAATTTAGGTCTATTTTTCTTCTATGGTTCACAAAATAAAGTTAGTTTTATTGAATGAGGTTTTTGCATGGATATAAGAGTGAAGATATGCAGCATTGTTAATGGTTAAACTTACATTTGAAGAGGTCAATTCTATAGTGAGGAGGTGTCCTGAATCTAGCCACTATTTTATTTACTTGGAATTTCTAACAAAAAAATAAACTATTGTAGCTTTCTTTTTAATCATTTCACCCCAAGCAAAGCAGCAAAGTCAATAAGATGCAAAGTGTTGCTGACTGTGTGAGAAAAAACACTATTAAGCAATAAAAGAACAGGAATTAAGAGAACGGATGGTAACAATTGACATTGCCTTTAAATCTTTGAAGATCAAACTTGAAGATAGTTGCACAACAGAGAAGTTTGAGTGAGAAAACTATTAGTTTAGGACTAGTCATTTCAACTGTAAAATGATGAAACCTTTGCACCAATCTAATACTGTGCTTAAATTCATAAAGTCTAAGTAACCTAGAGGAAGGTTCACCAGAACAATTATGATAAAAAGATTTATAGAAAAAGCACAGGGAATCTATGTTATGGTGGTGGGAAAATGGCTGAAGCTGAGATGCAAGGTCAAGACCAGTAACACATCAGATCCAGTGTAGCGATGTTTGCAGAAACCATGGATAGAGTTACCTGCCTATCATTGAATAAAAACTCAGTTCTAATGGAAAGTCAGGCAAATATACTCTAAATGAGTTAATTAGAATTTTAAGAGGATTTATGAGCAAAACATTCTGCTTTATTAGCAGGAGATGTTAACACCTCAAGTTGAGTGATGATAGGAGGGACAGAAGACTTATGAAATACACTATTACAAAGGCCCCAATAGTTAAGAGAACCAAAATTGTTAGTTTGGTTTCTACAAATAATAAATGAGACATTGATCATTAATGTGTTAGTAAAATAATAAAATCAAAGTTCATTACTTTAGTTTTCTGTTTATCATAATATCCTTATTTAAAGGATTTTTCTGCCTTTCAATAAAATGTATTTCACCTCTTTTCTGACTGGAAATGTATTTTGGTTTCCAGTTTATAGAAATATAATCAAATAAGTTGAAAGAATAATTTCAAAATGGAAAATGAAATTTTGGAAACCATTCAAAAAATGTTTTTCTTGATTTTTATACTAACAAAAAAACTGGGATCAGAACGATAAGGAATTTTCATATTCTTTATTTTTAGAGAAACAGAAATCTTATCAGATTGTTGTGCATGTGATGAGCATTAATAAGTTAAACTTTGATATTTGTTTCTATAATTTTATGTGACATATTTTCTAAACTTAAGAATTACTTTCCTGAATATTCTGCAACTTTTGAATAATGTATGGATTTCTGGAATTAAGAATTATCATTATTTACCCTATATAACATTCAGGCTATTTTCCTTAGCTTTGTTGTTGGAATCACAACATTTCAGCTGTTGTACACTCCAGTTTTCATTAGATGTATGTCTACTCAGGTAACCGAATGAGAACTGAACTGGACCCTTTATTGAATTTATGGGAGTAAAATGTTCTTGTTCCACTGCCCATGTCTATATTATCTTGTCTGGTTCTTATTTTTAGTACTACTCAGTTATTGCTTAATCTGCTTCCAGTGAACCCAAGTACATGCCACTGGTGCAGGGATTGAACTCAGAATTAATATATTATAAAATTCACAAACCAATGCTTTAATCCACTAGGCTATTTTCACATGGGATGATTCTCTGTAGAGAAAGGAGATCATTAATCTTTCTGCTGATGAGTGCTGCTGCTGCTTGT